TTGGAAGCGTGCCTTAACATTTTTAGGTTTAGTTTTGACTAGATGGGCAATGAGAAATAGCTGCTGGTGGTTATAAAGCTGGAATCTGAACAGTAGAAACAATCAGTAGAGCTCTGGGAAATCTCTGAAAGCAAATCTGAAAGCTTGGGTCATTTAGAAGTTAGGGAAGGTTTGAATATTAGAAGAATAGCTTGTTTTGATTTATTTCATTTCCCGGATTGGTGCTTTCTCCTAGAACAGTTCAATGAGGAGATGCTCCTGCTAACAATGGGAATTTGGGCAGCCTTGGCCATCCCCCAAAAATGTGGTGTGCCAGGCCTCTGGCACTGGAGTTTAGAGAAAGTTGGAGGTCTGGAACTGAAGCTTTAGGTGAACTAGATAGGGCATGTTTTAAGGGCAGCCAGGCACACAGACATTTGCAGCCAGTTTGTAAAATACATACCAAAGGCAATGGCTGGATAGGCACAGTATTAAAAGTTACTATTTAATGATCCTTTTTATTTATTCAGAATATGGAATAAAAATCTTAGTCACTGAAGAACTGATGCAAAAAAAAAATAAAATGCACAGAATCTGGGAATCTCTTGACAAACATTTACATGGGAGGTGATGATAAACAAACAAGACTTAATACTTAGCACAGCAATACTTTTAGAGGACATGTTTTATTAACAGCTTTGTATTTCTTCTCTGCCTGTCAGGAGAATCCTTTATTCCCAAACCACTCATTGCAGGTTTATTGTAAGATGTAGCTTGCTATTTTTAATCAGTGTATGAGAAATGAGGGGAGACATAGATCCAAGAGCATTAGCAGGTAATACTCAACATCTCTGAAGGCACATTTATTGAGTACTTCAATTTGACTGTGAACTCATGCTTAAATGGCTATCTTTGTTTTGCTGCTGATATATCGTGATATTACTCTCATATACTGATGCAGGTTTATTCATAGTCTGTCAGGCACAGCATGTTGCAGTCCTTTCACATGGGGAATAAAGAAAGTTTTTTTTTCTAGTTATAAGTCTCAGATAAACCAAAAGATAAGGTATTATTTAGTGACACGGTGCAATCAGTTCTCTCAGAATGCCAGCTGATAATACAGTGACTGTGCATGTGCCTTTATGCTCAGAAATGGTATGTTACTCTGCCAGACAATGGGGAACATTTAAATAGGACCCAATGTTCAGAAAGGCAATACACTTCCTGAAACTTGGAGTTTAAAATCACTGTGTCTGAAAAAAGGAGACAGCTAGAATAAATAAGACATTTTGGAAAACGTATGCCATATTCTTTCAGAACAAAATTTAAAATGATTCAGACTGCCAAGAATTTCAAGACCCATTTTGAAGGCTACTCTGCATGGGTAAATATATTAGTAAAATAACTAGAATGATTCATATAGATTTCTTTTAAAATTTTGGAATATAGATGCATGTAAACATAAATTCTGCCATTAGTGAGTCAGATTTCCAAGGCTTTAAGAATCTCTCTTAGATTCAAGGTACAGTTTACGTAGGGGCATATATTTCAATATAATTCATTTGTTAAATGAAGGGACTTATAATTGTTAATAAAATTGGGTGAACTCTTAGGATCCATTTAAGCATATTTTTAAGAAAACTCTCAGCACAGCTAGCCTTTACAGCCTTGTGAGATAGCTGAAAGATACCGCTGCAATAAATGGAAGTGGAGTCTTTTTCAGTAGCACTTGGTTAGTTTTGATAATACAAAAACCTATATGTTTTGGCAACAATTCAGAAGTGTTGTATCAGCCATACATACTCCTGGAAGAAGTCAGCTGCTAGTTTTCTGTAAGGACATATATTTTCTCTAAAAATAATGACAGGTTTTATTTACATTGTTGAATGTCAACTAGAAAAAAGGAAAACAGACCTAATGCTATTGCTGTCAGGATCAGTGGTGGTTTATGGAAATTCCAGATATGGAAACAAAGACTGATTTTTAAGAAGACTATCTCCACTACTACTTAAAAATTATCGTTTCTTTTTTCCTGGTGCTCTGTTGATATATGACTAATCTTGGTTACAATTATAAGGATTTCACACTGTAAATTACAGAGTATGCAATAAGTCATTGAAGCATAATGTAGAGAATAATATAAAATAAGTAGGCCATACAGATCTTGAATACTTTTACTTTAGCTAACACTGTAATATTTTGTGTTAAAGTCGATAGTAAATATATTGTATTAATTATATGTAATTAATGTCATTTTTACATGTCTTCAACCTAATGGATGACAGATTCATTTATGTTTTATAACCAAAATGTGGGTAAATTGATCTGTAACATGTAAACTCAAACACTTACCTCTAGTATAAGACTAACTTGATAAAACCTGATGAGTTGAGTTGTGTATTCTAAACTACTGATAGGAATTGCAGCCTATTGCACATAGCTAGTGGAATAGCTAGTGGGACTAGTAGAGATTGAATGAATATGAATAAGATTCCATTCACCTAAATAGTCTCAGAAATCACATGTTCCTCTTTATTATCCTCTGAATACCTTCTATTCCAAAACAAAACAAAAACCAAACAATCCCCCAAAACCCACACTGAATAAATAATCATTTTATGATGAAATGGTTAATTGACAATAAAAGAGCACTCAAAAATGGACTTTTATTCACCTGATCACTGTTATTTTGCCCATTCCTGTTTCCTGAGAAGGTTTATCTGTACAGTAACTCATAGGTGGTATAGAGAAATCCGATGTTATTGCTGTGACTTCAGTGCAACTATTCATGCATTTTTCATTTCCTGTAAGTAATTACTTAATTTTTAACAATGTGTGTAACCTTATTTCTATTTTTAGATTAACCGATCTCACACTATGCTTTGGATTTGAACAATAGTGGTAAATCTGGTTCTCTAAAGCACCGTGGAATCACTCCAGAAGTGGTTTCATACTGCCTTCGGATGGTCCTAACATCGTATCAGTGGGACACTTTTGGGTGACTGTGAGATCAGTCTCTTTTCTGTTTCTACAGATATAGTTTCAGCATTTCACTGGCTTCATCCTACTTTATTTTATTTTATTTTATTTTATTTTATTTTATTTTATTTTATTTTATTTTATTTTATTTTATTTTATTTTATTTTATTTTAATTATTTTTCTTTCCTGTAATTGATGCTATACCAACCCCTTCCACTGACTTTCTTCACAGGCAATTACATCAATTTTATACACATAATGCAGTCACTTTTGGCTCAATGAGCAAAATTCTCCAAGCTAGCATGACAAAATTCAGCCTCTCCCTTCTAATTTTATTAAAAAAACAAAACAAAACAAAACAAAACAACTGAAGATAAATGCAGCTCAGAACTGCCCTTTAGCCACAGCTGCAGACATACTGGGGACTGTGTCCTAAGCAAGGTGGTATAACAGAGAGCAGCCCCATAACTGTCTTGGCAAATCCAAGTCTTCTGGAAAACCTTCAGGTATTAATTGTTATGAATTACTACTAGCTTAAATAAAATTATTTAGCAAATTATTTACTTAAGACTAAGATGACAAATGCAGGCAGATAAAGTTGCATAGTGGGGTATAATAAATTATAAAGACTGTTATATATAATCCTTAGAAAGAAATTGGGACCTTTAATTACATTTGTAATTAAAATGTCTATTTAAAATTTTATCTTAGCTTGACTGTACATTCATAATTTGTGAAGCTGAGTGTTTTGATGTAAGAATTTAAGTTGGCATTGTGAACCTAATAGCTTTTTAGGAAGAAAATCTAGGTTCAGTTACAAAACCAAACTATTTGATTACTAAATCTAGATTCTGGCAGATCTGGTGGGATTCAGAGGAGATCTGAAAATAGACGAGCATTTCAGAACAATAATGACCATCTACTTCCCTGATAAAATCAACAGTACAGGTAGTTAAAGTAAGAAGCACATGCTTGCATTGAACAGAATGAATAGTTAATGTGTGTATCAGCCCCTTGTTTGTGGTCTTGTGGGTCTTCCCACCTCTGGTAGTACCTCTAGTAGCTGAAGAAACGGCACCGTATCAATTAAGTTGTTTGCATTACTGAAAGCTTGCAACAACAATCATTTAAAAATTTCCTAAAGAGCAGGACTAGAACAGGCATTTAGTGAGATAAGTTCTTCCTTAGACTAGACATGTGACTACTGTTCCCAGCTCCTGTTTCCCTGACTGTATTTTCAAAATTGTTTCTTAATCTTACATTATAGCAACATGGTCGACGAGATCCAGCCAGATTATTCCTCCTCACCCACATATCTGCTTCCATACAGAGCAACTCTGTTGCTGACCAACAGTGAAAAAATGGCAAATCTCAGAAAGATTGACTGAGAGTGGAGGAGTATATTCAAACCCTATTAACTTGATTGGCATTATGTCACATGAGAGATATTGTGAAAAAATTCAAACATCGTGGAAACAGCCCCAACATTGCATATGGATGCCTGCATTTTATGTTTATACAGTGTATTTTATGTTTATACAGTGCATTTGTACATTGTCTCTTATTTTGTCGTCAAACCTTTATCTCTGCTCTTTATTAAATCTTCAATTTAGTTATCTTCAGCTGGTATTTTATAGCAACAGTCTGACACAAAGGCTTGTTAATCAGACATCATTTTCTAAACAAGCAAAGTGTGTGCTATATATAGGATAAATGATATGGAATTGTGAATTACAAATCTATATTCATACTGAGATTTTCTATGGAGACATTGTGAGCAGTTGCAGGGACTCAGCTATGGCATTAAACTTTTACTGTTAAAGGTGGGATTTTAAAAAAGCATGTTGGGCATCTTTAACAAGCCTGGGAAGAACCTGTTCTTTGTGGTCTAAAGCTACCTCTACCAGGTAGCTAAATACTTGCTCTGTGCTTGTAAAACTCTATTAAAAAGTGCATAATTAAGTCTTAGAAAGCTCTAGGAATGTAATAATCACAGATTGCATTATATTTTGATGGTTAATCTTGTAAAGTGAGTACTAACCTGATCTGAAGCCATGTGAGCATTGGTGTTGTGCCTCCACCAAATACCCAGACAGTGAAAAACACAATAAGCAGTGCTGTTGTGAACATCATTTGTTTGGGCTGGGATCCTGTGTCTCGAATAGCCAATGCAAATGCTATTGCACCACGTAAACCTGAAAAATGGATGAGAATGGTGAACTTAATGTGATGGAGAAATAGAATTTTACTCTTTCCTACCCAAACCTGATTCCAAGGGCAGAAAGAATTTTCAGCCACAATCATAACTATAATTTGTTGAATCACAGTAGTTGAAAGCACGGTGTTTAAGGCAAGTGTAAGCAACTTAGCAAAAATGGACAATGAAACCTCTATGATAATCACATAATAATTACACATCTGTTTTCTATCCACTGAATTCCCTGTTGTGAATAATTTTATATTAAATATAATTTTATATTAAACATTTTATATTTTATATTAAAAAGATATTAAATTTTAATAGTCATAAAATTATATTCCTGAGTAAACATAAAATCTTACAAATATGGAGAAAAGAAAACAGCTAACACTGAGTTTAAAAAAAGCCCCATGGGTAGTACCAAGCTAATTAAATAGGTCCTCATACAGTAACACATTAAAAAGGACAGGAAAACAAAGCCTGTCCTTTTATATATTTAAAATAATGCTTCCAGACCTAAGGATGCATAATACAAATAATACTCTCTATTTTCTTATGTTGTTCATTAATCTATTTAAATTTATTTTAGTTTTCTAAAAAAATATAATTATATGTAGACAGCCAGGCCATTGCATGTATACAATGCACACTGAATCTTTGCAAATATCAAGAGATTAAACGTAATTATTAAAACTTTTGTAAGGTACTGACGGTTTATGCAAAATCTTTTAATCAACAGCTAAAAACCCTAGTTTTTGTAGTGGAACTCTAAAGCTTTTTAAGAGTGCATAGCTAGGCTACAAATCATTTGGTATAGAAGATGAACAGTTTATCCAGAGAAAACAAAGCCTTTTCTGCAAGGCAGCACCAGACTGTAGTTACACTAGCTGAACTGCTTCAGTGGCAGAGGTTTAAAATCTTTGTTTTTATGAAAATGACACTAAAGTCAACAAGGAGACTTGTCATTGATTTTGCTTTTATGTAAAAGATATCTCTAAAGATGCTTATGCTTTACTATTTTCTTCAAAGAAAAAAGCATCAGCTCATTTTAAACACGTGTCTGAGGAGCAAATGAGCCACCATTAACATGGTCTTTTTCTGGTGATTAAAGTGGTAATCTAGATGACTACGTCAAATTGAATTTAACACATGAAAATATTTCTTTTTCATATGAGCTGAGACTGCTGGCCTGCTCATTTTAGCTGATGTTGAACTTAATTTGAGAAGCTGAGGCTTAATTACACATAGACTAATCTAATTTTGATTTACAATGTGTTTTTATCAGGAATCATGATTAAACATAATTGTAAAAGTGAATCTACCCTCTGTAACATGATGCTAGAAGAGGGACACAAACAGATGAAGAATATAATAAATTAAAATGCTACATTATCCACTTCCAAGACTAACTCATCCACCTTTTCTCAAATGTATTAGTACTCAAAAAGTATATTTAGTAACTTCAGTAAAATTCTTGGCAAAGTCAGGTGTACTCAGATGCTAACTGGCAATGTACTTGCCCAATCTTAAGTGCTTTTTTTCAGACTGTGATATGCATGGTGACTATGGCCATAAAACTCAGTAAAGAAAATAGTAATATTGGGTTCATTAGGTAGCAATATGATCAAAGGCAAAACTAATCCCAAATTCTTTGTTTTCACATCTTCGTGTGTGATGATGTGGTGACTGAAGCCCAGTTTTCTCCGTGGCCTACTGGAACCTGAAGTTATGCCAGAACATTGATTCAAAAACTCTGCTAATCTTGTGTAGGCACTGGCACAAAGCAAGTGAGGGCGTTCCTCCAAATGCAAATTCAGTGTCTTGTTTACTCGTATCAGAAATGTGTCTTCTTTCTGGCAGTCATTGTCTTCTCTGTTTATCACTATACACAGGATGATCAGTTTGTAGTAAATAAGAACATTATTGGTAACCGAGCATAGATCTTAATACATATAATAAAGTGCAATTACATGGAAAATCCACACATCAGTGAAGTGCGAAACTGCTGGTAGTGTGAAAGGCAGTGAGTCCTTATTGGTCTTCTGGCAGATTATGCAATTTATTTAAAAAAATATTTTAAAGATATTTCTCTCAACAAAATACAGTATCTTTTTGAAAACAGTTAAAAATACTTTCTGACTATTTTAACATTTGCATTTTAGAAATTTTCAATACTACCATTTTTGGTTTTCAGATGCCAGATTATGCTGGGAAGCTAATGTGTACTCACACAGTGAGTCCTCACTGGCTGCTTTCTGCTTCTAGCTCTGTGGAGAATGAAATTTGACTGGAGAAACAAGGACTGAAAAGTTGATGAATAAGATATATTTTAGAATACTTTGAAATCCATACTTTATCTGAGCAAAAATAAAAGAAAAATGAGGCTTGGAAACTGGATAACTAATGATAGGAAGTTTATTTATTTATTTATTTATTTTGTGTGTGTGCTGTTTAGTTGGCCACCTGCTAGCTTTATCAGGGTGATCTACATATATATCTCACACCACTAACAATTGTAGATGAGCAGGCGGTCTGAAAGCCAGTTTGTAATGGATGTATGTCATCATCTCTGACTACAATCTAGTTGGTATTAACTGACATTTTCAGTGGCAGCTTTTAGCGGAAGGATTGAATAGATGTAGAAATGAACTACTGTGCTGCTCTCTAGAGATATGGAATTATATAGGCATAAATGAGGCACCCTGATGAGGAGTATTCCTGATGAGGAAGCTTGAAATGTAGTGCATTGTATTCTACTTGCTACCTGGCTAAATGGATCAGTGTACAGCAAGGCTGTCAATCAAGAACTTTTATCCATTAAAAATTGGAATACCTTTTTGTATAAAAAGCAAGAAAAAGGAAAAAAAGTTATGACTTTCTAACTTTAAAAAATGATTTCATAAATGGCATAGGGGGATCTGTGTTTCTGTCTTTCAATGACTAAATACTCTTAGCTTATTAGTGAGTTTTTTTCTAAGCAGCCTCAGAAAGTCAAGTGGAGGTATTTCTAGCTTATGCAAGTCCAAAAATATAGTTTCCAGCTGATATTTTAACAATTCAGTGGATCAGTGGATGATGCTCTGAGAATAGAAGATGGCTCCTTCTCCTGGATTTTATTTATTTGTTTATTTATTTATTTAATTCTTCATTGCTAATCAGATTTTAAAATGAATATAACCACTATTTAGAAAGTAAACCTGAATTTAGAAGGTAAAGTCCTTAGATATCAGGCTGGAAAACACATGAAAATGTCTGTGGAATTAAGGTCTCCTAATCTCATGTTTCAAAGGCAAACTGTTCACTGAAGTTAAAAAGAACTGCCAAAGACCATGATCTGAGTATCAGTACTAACACCTTTAAAGTTGGGTATTTATTTCCTGGTAGATGAGCATACTGCTAGATATACTACAAATGCCTCTCAAACAACTTGTAAACACAGTATTTCCAAATTGGCATGGAAGTGTTGAGACAGGATGAGGGACAACAGATTAAAAGACTGGCTTCTGAGTGACAGGTTTCCAAAAAAGTTAACTAAAATAAGTCCAGAGCACAGTGAATTGCTGAGAGTATGTCCATTTGCTTCATTGGCTTTGAGGAGGCTATCTTGAGTACTAAAATGATGACTTCTTTGTGACAGATGTGACTTCTAGTGATAGATGACTGTCTATGTTAGTAGTCAAATGTGGACAGGAAAAATACCAAAATAGCACTTACCTGAAAACATCATCATGTGTTGAAAGTTCCTGGGAATCTTTTGTTTTCGAGCCAAATTCAAAAGGAAGGAAAGTGGATATATGTTGCAAGCTCTTGCTATAAAAACTGCCACCTAAAATGTAAGATGTTAAGGAAAATGGTGGAGAAACTACTGAAAGAACAGTCAATTTAAATCCAGTATTTCTTCATAGTTATTTTAAAAGTGTAATTAAAATGAATATGAGATTATCTTCCTTTGTATTTTACATATCACATCCTTCTGGTTCCAACCTCATTATAAAGCCATACAGTGGCAGAGACTGTCTTCCCCAGACATCCTGTTTTCAGATTGATCATTATATATCCCAATTCAATCACTCTACTTTCACTCATCAAATTTGTATCACATGTGACTTCATCTAAAGTCCTTCAGTAAAATGCCCATCATCAATTTCAGGGATGGCATTATCTCCTTCAGCAGCAATTTGAAAAGGATAAATGTGCTTTTGGACATGATTACTTTCTTATTTCCTGAGTATTCATATTGTCTATATCCAGCATTTTTATTTTTTTTTGAGATTTTTCAAAAGGGGTTCTTTATTACTGCCCTGTGGAACTATCATGAAAGTAGCTTTAATTAGAAACATAACACTATTTCAGATTGAAAAAAAAAGACAATCGTATATCCTTATACATGCTTTTAGCAGCTGCTGTCCTTCCCTTGTCTTGTGACTCTTAGGGCTCAATTACAGCTGCAAGAGTCTGAGACATGCTGTGGAGTGTAGAACCAATAAAGCACATGAGTGGCAATGTCTGGATGCATCCTATCTATGAGGCCAAGAGCCTGCTTAAAGCTCCCATGGACCTGGGAGAGGAAGTGTTAGCAGTGGTTGCTTCACATTACCTGTGCTCACCATACTAGTGCAACCCTGTTGTAGTCTGGTGGTTCTTAGTGTGAGGGAACAAGGGAGAGGGGTCCCTACAGTGCTCTGCAACACAGTCTCCCATCTGTGTTGCTGAGTGCTGCTCTCGTGTTCAGCTGTCTCTCTGTGCTGGGACTGCAGGATGCAATATTGCACTTGGGTCATTGCAGTGGTGGATTGCAATGGGCTCTTGGGCTCATCTCTGCCATCTAAAGCAACCTTTAGTGAAGGAAACTGGAATGCAGTTCTTATTATTCATTTGGAAATTGCACATATAATTACTGCAAGTAACAGTGTGATTCCAACTTTCAAAGCTTCTGTAGTTCATCAAAAAGTAATGAGCAAAGGACCACTGCTTGATTTTTTTTTTTGTAGTAATTTGATGAATGAATTGTAAAAATGAATTGTAAAATGAATTTGCTGAGAAACCATGGCAGAACTGAGAACTGAAGACAGACTTTCCTACCCGCCTCTGGGGCACTCATGATGTAAATAATTCCCTGTACACTAGAAATATCAAATTTCAAGAAGGAAATTCCTTCCCTACAAAGAAGGAAAGATATGAGCAATGCTAAGCTGTTGGAGTTTTTTCGGGACTTCACGTATTATGTAGTTTTGGGAAGTTCTGCTTATGGCACTCTCCGGAGGCAGCTCTACAGTTTGTGGATCTACACTGGCTTTGTATGAGCAGAAAGATTTTGTGTGCCTGCACTTGTCGCACAGATCTGTCCCAATACATTTCCCAATTTCCTACCCCAACTCTAAACCTAATATCAAGCCCAGTGTCAGAAATTCCCCAGCTGGTTTAAAGCCTTTTATCTTTGCCTTATATCTATCTGCAAACCAGAAGCCATAAGACCGCCAACTTACATGCAGTGAGGCAGTTTTTGAGATATGCACAATAAAGTCAATTGCATACTTTTTTTTTAACATCTAAGGAGTTAGTAGGTTCGCTATTTATTTATTTATTTATTTATTTATTTATTTTAAATGGAGCACATGTTCTTTATACATACCCAGAACTATAAATATATTAACATATATAAATATATAAACACAGATAAATACTTTAGAGCAAAGGATACAAATGCACCAAAAATAAAAAGAGGATTGAAGATATGATTTTGAAATGTGAATAGTGCAAGTCCCATGTAACAGAAGATGACATTCTCAGCCAAAAAATTCATGAACTCGAACAACTTAAATGAGAGAGAGAAAACAATTATGATTCCTGCCTGTAACTAACTACTCTATCACAATGTTTCCTTGGTATATGGAATGATTTAGATGAATGGAAAAGGAATCCCATTTCAAGGGTAGATTTTAAAACCATTTAATTTATCATATGCTTTAGATAGTCCCAGTAACGTGTTTTTCTCTGATTTGTGTATGAAAACTTGACACAGACAACTGGTAAAATACAGAAACAGCAATTAAGTTATAAAAGCTTCAATGGAAACTGAGGGGATTTAGCTTTAGTCAGGTTTACACAGGTGAACCTGGGAACTGGCTCAGATCCTGACTACACAAATGACAGCACAGTACAGTAATAGGAATGGTACAGTAATGTCAAGAGAGAAAAAAAATCCTGAGTGCATTTTTAAGAACCTGTGCCTTTAAAATATAACATGATCTTTTTATTATCAAGAATATTATTCCATAGGTGATGATTTTACCACATTATATGTATATCGGTATGAAGTACTCATTTCAAACCAAAGTATTTAAGATATCATTTAGACAGATTATAAATAAAGCTAAAATACATTATTATGGTAGGATTTCTTCTGTGAAAAAAACAAGCAAAGCCAAAATACTCATTTGCCTTTAGGGGATGTTTCTGATAGCATTTCCATCTTATTATATAAAAACTAATATAAAATATAAATTTTCATATTTATCCACATCTGGAAAAAATCAATCATTTCTGCCAAATAACTACAGAGGAGAGAAGATGAGGATTTAGACTTCTGAAATCACTTTTGGGCTCCGAAGATACAGAATCAGGGCTGAAGTTTGTCAATCTGTCTACAGTCATATATCACTCTACCAGGATTGTTACTATGGAGATATTTTCTTCATTTTCAGTGGGCTCATGTACTTTTCTTAATATGTTTGAGCTTCTAAAAATAAATATCCAATAGCAGTCAATAAGATCTAACAAAGAAAAAGTGAGAGCTATCAGAATAATTATTTTAAACAAATTTCAGAGGCAAAAAAACCCTAATAGTATATGGGAAGATATTGTAGACCCTGTGGCAGCACCATTAATTATCCCAAACTCACGTTTTGTGGTCCCCATTTTGTACTGCATTGCTGAACAACGTGAAAACAAACACAAGAAATATTTGCAATTTAGTAGACTTCAATTAAATTAAATTTAAATTTAAATGATAAACTAGTTGTTAAAATGTCCCAAATTATGGGTTCTAGTGACCCATAAGAATTATTAAGATGTATCTTTGCATTTCCATGTTGGGAGCAAACAGGATCCCATTTCTTTGTGGGCTTGTCACCTTGTGTTTTTTTTTCTAATGATGTAAACTTTCAGGACTAATCTTTCAGGAGTGTCATGACAGGATTTGCATATCTATATCTACACATTTGTATATATATACATATAAATCTTTGGAAGGAACTGCTATGATGAGCCACGACTGCATGCTTTAGTTGTTGGGATGAGGTAAAGGTACTCTAGAGCTTTCAGTGCTGGGTGATGTTTTGCTCTTCATTTATAAAATCTCATTCAAGACTTAATATAAAGTGAATCTACTGTTAGTAGTTTCAAAAGCTAAAGTTTATTATATTTTCAAACTCTTTGTTGACATGCAGTTTTGGAAGGAAAATAGATTTTGCTGTATCCTTGCTTTTGCTGTACATTCTTCCTCAATTGTCTTCAACATTAAATTCACGCTCTTAACTCCTGCCTGAAGTGCTTTCATGACATTACTGCTTTCAGACTTCTCACCCCATGTCTCCAAGCAATCTGGTCAAAATGCAGTACTTAGGTATTTCTGTGAATTCATTTTAGAGCAACTTTTATGTTTCCCTATAGCTTCATCTTTTCTTGTTACATGCATATTGTTTCAAACCTTCAGAACTATTTCAATAAGTGATTCCTAAAAATAAAAATCTCTAATTCTTGACAATGTGTTTTCAGTCAACATGAACAGCATATACAGTATATTACTTTCTCTCACTAGGACAGTGTTTCCTATGTCACGAGCATAAGACTTTGTTCTCTTAGGCTATATTTTACAGTTTATGTGATGCTTGTTAGCCGCATCATCTATGTAAGATACATGAAAGACTGTAATCCACTGCAGTTCTTGAATCATGTTCCTGGGCATGAACTGGACAAAATTCTGTGCTGCCCCCCAACATGAATTTTAGTCCTGAACCATGCTTTTTATTTATTATTGTTATTATTAATTGTAATTATTAATAATAATAATCTCTAATTTTTTAGTATTTCAATCTTCCAGTATCAGAGCACTGCCTGCTAGTTTACTTTCTTTTTGTAGCAAAAATCCAAGTGCTATTTGAATATATTTGAATAGCTGATTTGGGTTAGACTCTAAAGAAATGAGACTCCTTCCTATCGCAGGCACAGGTATGAGGTATTCGACTCCTTAGAACAGTAAAATTAGTTCTGTAGCATCATTCATGGTCTTCTGTATTCCCCCTATAGCTTGCTCTCTCTTTTTAAAAGCATGTCACTCATATGATGCATTTATTTGTGAAGTGCAGCCTGTTCAAATTTCCTACCCTATCTTAACAAAAAAAAACAACACAACACAACAGAATATTAAAATTATCCTTCAGAACTAGTTATTGGCACAAAAGAAGTGAGATATTTGAGTGCCTTTTCCTGGAACATGACACTTGCAGATATAATGTAAAACTTAAACACAGTCCTCCAGACTTCCCAAGATTTTTTGTTCCTTCACTTTTATTCCTGTATTCAGCAGAGTGTTTCTTCAAATTCTGCTTTTTGTTCAATAGCAATTGTGATGGTTTAACAGCTGATGGGCAGCTCAGCTCCACCATGCTGCTCTCTCACTCCTCTCCTCAGAAGGACAGAGGGATGAAAATATGATGAGAAAAATGAAAGCTTGTGGTTTGAGATAAGGAACAGTTTAGTTAAAGGAAAGTAAATAAATTAAGCAAAGGCTACTCAGAAGCAAAAGGAGAAAACAATTATTCACTACTTCCCATCAGCGAGTGATGTTCAGCCATGTCTTGAGAAATAGGGCCTCAATATGGATAATGATCTCTTGGGAAGACCAGTGCTTTCATAACAAGAGTTCCCCCCAGCTTCTTTCCCTTCCCCAGCTTTTACTGCTCCATGTGACAACATTTGGTTTGGAATCTCCCTTTGGTAGGTTTAGCTCAGCTGTCCTGGTGAGGTTTCCTCCCCAACTCTTGCCCACCACCAGCCTATGTGCGGTGGGGGTTTGGAGAGCTGGCCTTGGTGCTCTGCCAGCACTGCTCAGCGCTTGCCAAAGCACTGCTGGGAGAGCAGCGCTGCTCTGGCTACTGGTGCACAGCACAGCCCTGTATGGGCTGCTGTGGGGAAAGTCAACTCCACCCCAGCCAGACCCAGCACAGCAATACAGGGCTTATGGAGATACTCTGTTAAGCATTTAACTGACACTGCTGTGTAGTATAAATCCCACCAGAACAATGCAATTTATTCTAAAGAGATCTTCTGAGAGCCTCTTTAAGAAACAGCTTCCATAGAAGCACATTCCCAACCTCTCATGCCTTTCACATTAATGTTTCTGTTGAGGTTGGACTAGGTGATCTTGGAGGTTTCTTCCAACCTCGGTGATTCTGTGATATTTTAAAGATGAGATATCAAGACCTTTTGATAAGAAGTCAAAGAATAGGAGGATTAAGTTTTTTTCTGGAGGTCATAATTTCCTGGGACACCCAGGATTTTCCGGGATTGATTTTTTTTTTTTTTTTTTTTTTTTTTTGTGCAGCCTGCAGCCATAAGCAAGGTCCATACTATGGTCCATAGTCTGCTTAAATGGTACTCAAAAATTTCCCTTATGTTGAATTCCTTAGAAGTATTTTGTTCATAACCATAAATTCTCTTTCTTTGCCTCCCACACAGGCCACTAACCTATTTCTACTTTAAATGAAATAGACATTAAAATGCTCATATGCTGCCATTAGTTTCCCTAAGGCTACCAGAAAATTATACTAGAAACCATTTTAATATACACATAGTAATAAGACATTTTTTCTGTATAAAACTATAAGAACCCTAATTTTTAATGTGCCATTTCTACCTCTCCACATAGTCTATAAATCTGCTTATAGTTCTAAAGTAAGAGATGTAATAAATCACTAATGTAAGTTTGAAGTAATGTCAACATGTCTAAAGGTAGAGTATTAATTACAAAAATATAAGTGCAACCTGAGCGCTTGGTTTAGGTTTTAGCTCAGTGAATTACTGACACTGCTATTTACTATTTGCTTTGGTTTGTTTATTTTCTCCATAAGAGTGGCTATTACAAATGACTGATGTTAAAAATACCTATTAAGTTCAACAATATTTATGCATTTAAAATCTCACTGTTCTCCAGATATACTGATTTTGTTGCTGTTTTTGTTATTATTTTATTATTATTTTTCTCAGCCATTGTAAGAGCTCAGAGGGATGTGCAAAGAATTAGTTTCAGGTTGGGACATTCTTCTGGGAAGCGTCACCTGGAATTCTCACTGGTAGAGAAAGGAATGAATGCAAATAATGTACACCTTAAGCCTTGCTGTAACCACTAAGTTTCTTCTGATGTTTTACTCTAAGTCATGTGAACCATTTTATATAATGTAAAAGCTGTATTAGTTCTAACTTTTGAGTGAGGTAAGAGAAGCACCTTTTTTCTTCTCTTTCCTTCATTCCTTCCCTCCATCTCTGCAGTTAAGTTCAGGCCAAATAGGGAAACTACACCAAAATAGGTTTTGCAAGTTGATCCACTTTATAGAACTACTTAAATTTTCACTGAATGTTAGAGAGATTATCTAGGTAAGTAATTAGTGCACCTGGAAGATGGAACACACTAAGTTTCCATTTCTGCTGCACTAAAAATAGAAAAGGACAAAATGAACATATTCTAGACCATAGTCCTCTTATGGTTGGGGATATGGAAAATGAAATATTTATTAAATCCTAATATTTTAAACAGCA